ATGAACAGAGTGTATCCTTGGCAATACTCATGTGGAGACAGTCGGACTTTCACTCCTTCCCACTCTTCTGACATTTCCCTCATACTCTAATGCAACCCTAAATATTCAGGTGGAAAACAAAGCAAGTGGTAGATCAAGCTCTAAAGTCAAGACACTCACCTGCAAATTGAGCTCTAACTCTGGTAGCTGCTGTTGACAGGATGCTGCCATCTTCTCCAGAGTGGAAACCCTTCCCTGATAGATATCCTGGCAGTCTGAGTTTACTTCCTTGAATTGGTGTTCCCTATTAAAGAAAAAAAAAAAAAAAGTTTTTTTTTTCAATTGTTACTACTGGAGATAAGGTCTTGTATTAGGTAGTACATAGATTAGAAAATGATCCTCATAACATTCACTGTGAATCTGAAATACTGGTTTGAGTAGCTACAGACATTTTTCATGATATGAAGTTTTGAACATTCCTTTAGCAGTTAGTACTTGAAATAGTCCAAATGTAAAACAACAACAACAGAAGAAATCACTTCATCTGCTTGACATTAGCATTTTAGCATTCTTTGTGTGTATCTCAACGCATATAAGGAAAGAAAAATGCTGTCTTCTTATAATTAGTAAAGCACAGAAGATTAGTTGATGGTACATGACTTAAATAGAGAGAAGTAGTTGAGATTTTATGTCTGCATAGCTTGACTTTCCAGCATTCTGACTCTGGTTACAGGTGGTGAATACATTCATTTCAATTTTATAAATATTTTGACAGTAAAACAAAACTACCAAATTTCAAAACCCTTTGCTAGAAAAAAAGCAGGAAAAAAGACATACGACTAATTTTTAAAAGTTCTCGTCAATATATTGTCTGAAATGTCTCTACTCCATAGTCTTACCCTGCCCGCTTTCTTATTTCTGAAATAAAGTTAATCTTGATTTACAATCTGCCCCAAATGGGAAGATTGCTTTAAAAGCCACAAGAATGAAATCCTCAAATCTCAAAACGCATGTAACATACTAGGGTAGGAGGAGTATGGAAATATGAGGAAAACTACAGTATTCATATTCATTTCATCAACAGAAAAATCCTAAATAAATCTCCAAAAAGAAGAACAAACACTGCAGTGATCCTGTGTTCTGTGCCTTTGATCCCCACACAGTGGTGGGGTAGAATTAGGTACTGAAAACCAAGATCCAGGAGTGCGTTGGGGCTAAGCACTGAGCGGAGGCCTGGCGGGAGCCTGCCTGCAGCTGCCAGCTCAGACCAGTTCTGGCACATCTGAAGAAAAGAGCATTGAGATGCTACAGAGCAGACAATCTGCTGGCTCTGACAGGGATGGTCACGATGTTAAAACTCTCTTTAAAGCCAAGTACAAGCGCTTAACATCCAGCCAGCCACACGCTGGAAATCTCTGCTAGACAGAGACTGCTTGGGAGGATAAGGAGAAAGGAAACGCTCTCCATTACCCCTGCTGAAGCTGCTGCACTTTGGGCAAGGCATTGGGATAGAATCACTGGTGCAAGAAGAAATCAAGCTTGCTCTTCAGTTTAGCCCTAAACCCAAATGCAGTCTACCTATAAAATACATAACCGCGCTCTCGGTTGGAAAATGCTGCAGAATGCCTCAGAAATTCACTGCAATCTACCCCACCCTAATTGTTCCATCTAGAATCTTAAACCATGGTGGCCTACATAAAAGAAACTCACTGAAACTACTTGCAGTTGTAAGAGCAGGTGAGAAATACGGTGTCTCCATTTGAAATCAATGCCAACTGCTTTCACCTCACTATAATTCAATGAAAACACCTTTCCATGTCTATGAACCTTTTAAAAGTACCATCAATTAATCTTACAATTCAGTTAGCAGCTAAGAGATGAAAGAAAATACAGGAATATATTAGAAACTGCCAACTGACTCAACTTTGTGCTATTGTTAATCATTCTATGCAACAGCCCGGTGTGCTTGAAGTGCTGTATACATGCGCACGCCTGCAGCGTGCACAAGTAACGCACCCACTCACACAGAAGGAGGGAGTGAAAAGTTTGTTATGTGTCTTTGAGCAAAACCATGCCGAGGTCACGTAAACTTTGCACCAGAAGGTGTCACGTGAATAGCAATAGGCATCAAAGCGCAGATACAACAGAGGTGATGGTAGCACAAGCTTCCCTTCACCAAGCCCTCCATCTAACCCAGGGCAAGAGTAACTCCTACAAGTGACAAGTCAGTTTGCAGCCTGATCCAGCTGAAATCTTTTCACTGACTGTAATGACATCAGAGGAGACACTCTGGCTCCAAGCCCATTCAAATTTTGGACATACAGCTTTGACCGCTGGCACAATCCTAATTGCTATACTAGCAGTTTCTATGTAAGTCATGGGCTGGAAATAAGACCAAAGCTCATTTCCTGTTAAGTCATCAAATAGTTATCTTATTAGAGCAACCATTGGTCACTACCTCGCTAAACAAAACTTTCAGTTGTTGGAAAGATTTATGTATCATTGTCAACCTTTTGTGCTGTCTTCTTCACAGTGATTGTATATTTCTTTATTTAGTGGTCTTGCACTAAAGAGCATAATTTATTAATCTCATTCCTGCAGCTCATGAATATTATAGTACATTATGAACTCAAAGTAAACAATTTTAGGAAAGAAACCTGCAAAGTATATAAACTGCTTTATTAACAAAAAAAAAGTATTTTTCCACATTTGCTCATCCAGTTCATTGCATAGTTATGATTTATTAACCATTGGCACTTTAAACATAAATTTATTGAGGCTGAGTTTTCCTGAAAGTCAAAAACCAACAGAACATTAAAAAAAAAAAAAAAGCGTGGGAGTGGAAAAAATAATTTGACAAAGGTCTAAAATAAAGACAATGCATTAATATGCAAAGGATGTTGCAGCTCTGAAGCACTGAAACTCTAGTGGCTGTTAGTGAAGTGACAGTTTTAGTGAAGGAAGGTCATTAGACTAGAATCTCTGTCCTTACTGTACCTCTGCAGATGCCCCTTGATAGTCTGAGGATTCTGGTGGCTTAGAAGGTGTTGACGTTTTGCTGTTTGTCAACCATGGTTTACCATAGTTGCGTGTTAAATGATGGGGTGTCTGTATGAAACAATGGTAAATCAAAATATGAAGGACAGTAGATGGAAAACAACGTAATGGAGAAGGATACCGAGGCTTTCACAGGGAGACCACATCTCATAGTAGAAATAAAAACGAAGCAGAAAAAGTTGATGACAAATGTTCTGAAACTAAGAGATGATGACAGAGCTCATTTTTTAAACAAAATGGAGAGGTTCGCTGCTCTTTCAGAACTTATTCCCAAATTGCCAGTTAACTCATGTGGCACCTTAAGTGTAAAGAATTCTTCTATTCCCGTGTTGCAAATGAACAGTAGAGGAATTACACTGAAAAGTCTTCTTAGATGCTTCCCAGACTATGAAATAAAATTGAGATACTTCTTCCCTATCAGATAGGGATAGCACCAATACTGCTGGAGCAAGGCGGGGCGTAGAGGGCGAGGAGGCCATACCCCATTTGTTAACCAGTGCAGTTTTGTGTGTTTCTCCTTACCTTTGGCGTACTTGTAGCAACTGCTTGCGGGGCAGCTGCTTGGCCAGCTTGACTTGATAGAGAAGTAGATCTGTTGGGAGAAGCACCCCTTGAAGAGGGTCGTGATCTACGGCCCCTTGGTCGGAAAGCTGCCATGCTTTGACTGGCACCATCTGCCAAAATGAACTTTTCACGCAGTTCCACATTGGTCCTCCCTTTAGCTGCAGCAAAGAAAGGTGTTCATTTAGTCAGATATTAAAATTGTCACAAGGCAGTTTATTGTCATTTTTGCCATGCCAACCCCAACATATTTCAACAATAAATAAAATGCATTACTGTGGAATGCATTTATTTTGGACACAGAAGAGTTATGTGCAGAACTCGCTTATTCTAATACTTTATGCCAGCAGGAAAGTCAGCATGATAATGGAATGCTCAATGTGCTAAATAATTGTTACTCAGTCAATTATTAATACATAGACACAACCTGATGAGCAGGTTTGCTAACTCTACAGCTACCCATAATAAATAATACTTGCTTGGATGTTCCAGAAGAAATTGCTAAGTACAAATTACAGGAAAGCAGCAAATATATTTATTCAAAACTATGAAGTTATGGAGTTTGGCAACATGCAATGATGAACATAAAATCCAAACTATGATGAGGTAATTGGTGGCTAAGCACTCACACACACATACAAACACACATATGGGAGAATGTTCCGCAAGAGTAGATGCAAGACATGTTAGCATTTAACTGTGTCAGTGTGAATGACAATTGTTTTTGAAACACTCTTAAAGTGTGTCAAAAAAAATTAGCTTGCAAAGCACCAGCCCATGTAGGAACACATTAAGCTAAATGTGATGGGTGTAGCATATTGTTAAAAGTATATATTTTAATAAAGTGGGAAGGAAATGAAGAGAGAGGAGAAGAGGAGGAGAAGGAGACAAAGAGAGGGGTTTGCCAACCTATAGTAGGCTGAGTGGTAATTGAAGAGTTTGATTCCGAACGTAACATTTTACTCCCGTGATGATGAACTAGAAAAAATGACACAGGACATGGGTCACATTAAAGAAAATCATTAGCAGGAGAAGAAATCAAGTACAGCAGCTGCATATGCAAGAGACTCAGAGCACCAGGCCAAGAGACAGGACTCAGAGCAAAAGCTGTCTGTAAGTGCTCTGAGGTGAGTTCTCAAAGGTCTCCTAGGCGAAAAGGAAATAGCGCTTGGATGGACTCAGCTGCAGTCCCACGTATACTTGTGTAACAGTATTTATCTGCTGACATAAAGAAGTAATATAAGCTAAAATTAATTTATATAATTAGGTCCAATATTTTAAAGCTGTTTATGACAACAGTTCTTTGAAATGTGATTTGTCTGAATACACAAGGAGCCCTTGGTAGAAATGCAGATTTGCTAGGTGAAATGCTTAAGGAAAAGTCTGAACCTGCACCACTGACATCAATGACTACTTTGCATCACTGACTTCAGCAAGACCAGGATTAGGCACCAATGCACAACGTCCAGTGTCTGGATGATTTTATAGAGATCGGTATTCCTTTAGACCCACTGTGTTGACTTACTCATCTGCTTATGTATTGCCCATGAAAAAGGGATAAAGTACTACAGAAAATACTATAGAGATACATAGAATAAAAGATTTATTAAAGTAGAGGGGATAAAGTTCCAAAGGACTCTTAATCTGAGGACAGTAATAAGGAATTCCAATAAAATAATTAGTTATTAAGTATTGTATCTCTCAGTGTCAACCCAAGTAGGAATCGCAACAGCCTATCTGTCAAGAGGCCTGAGAAAAATGTTCGGGATACATCAAAACTAACCAACCTCAATAAAGTCAGATATTTTGAGGCACATTTCATTTTCCACTACCATGTACTTTTGAGGAATAGGAGTAGAAAGCTATAAAGTACGTATGGCTCTGCAGGGATAAATGACTTTCCTATAGTAGCAGGTAGCAGGTGCAGAACCAGGTGCTATATTTCAGTTACACCTGTGGTCCTGCACCAATAAATCTAACATTACTGTTACATTTCTTTAGTAAACAATATATGCAATATGTTGGTAAGCAAAAGGAGTATTTTTCATACTGCTGAAAAACTCAGATATCATCACAAGGTTATGACAGCTCTTTTATAACATTATGATAAAAAGTTTTAGGGGGTACTTTTTAAGCCTGTAGACAAAGGTTTCTAGGGCTTAGTGGCACACTGTCAGCCCTTATGGGGTTTTGTGGGAGCTTCTTTTTGGATTTAACATCCTTGACTTAGCATAAAAATTGCTACAAATACAAGCTCTCCACCCTCTCAAGGTCTGTATCAAACTGTTTAGGAACTTGGGTCCCAAAGTAGCTCAGTGAGACAGCTGACACTGGAGTAATATCTACAAGCACAGCTGATGTCTCTGTCTTCAGTAGCTCACTTGCCTCTCCTAAACTCCTCTGTGCTGTTCTCACACTATTACGATATTGATTATGATTCTACAGAATTCCTGAGTGGTAAAAATGCAGTAAACAATGCTGCTAGTTAATAGGATAGAATTACCTAGCTGAGAATGTCAGCTCATTGTGAACACAGTCATTATTATACTTTCTGCAATTTTACTACTCTGGCTATTATTTGACTTGTATCTCTCCCGCTCCCTTCACAAATGGCTTCCTTCCCATCTCCAACTGTTCCTCCAAGAACAGTGCCAGACAGAACCTACTTTCCCACTGCAGAAGTGGGCTTTCTGACAAACTAAGATGTCATTACCTTGCTGTGTACTGATAAAACAATGCATTCGATACAATGCCCTGGAGGGCACAGTAACAGAGCGCTCCCTGCTTGCCAGAGCACAAAGTCCTCCTGACCAGAGCATTTTCCACTTGCTTTGTACAAGGCTCTGCAAAGCGGTTCTGGGGAGGATGCCAATGAAAAGACGGGGCTACAAAGGCAGAGCCTGAAAGCCTGGGCACAGCCACGGGCCAGAGAAATTTTTTTGTGTTGTTGTTACTCTTCAATTCAATTGCCTTATTTTGATTTATTGCCTTAAAGCTCTCTTGCTAAGAAGGTTTTATTGGACATTTCTGTGTGCTGTTTCTGCCAAGTCATACGAGCAGCTTACATGCCATAAACTCTATCTGGGCCAAGTTCAATTTTTAATTACACCACTCTAACGCTGGAGGAACTGCGCAGAAGACATCACAGTTATTCTAGACATACATCAGTGCAAGTGAAGGGGATCTTAACCATGGGATTTGAAGTTTACTGAAACAGATCATTACGTGACATTTAGTGAGATGATGTTTACACAACTGGCATTTTCTACAATTCAATCTCCATCTTGAGACAATGAACGGTGACTGTATACAAATAAGTATCTGCATGTACATTTTAACAGTGGTGTTACATACCTCTGCAAGGATCATTTTTCACTAAGAATTCATCAAGCGCCATCCAGCCACCTCCAACACGAACCATGACTGTACTTCTTAGGATACGAACAAGGCGCAGTTGTTGAGAGTCACCAAACTGCAATAGAAATCAAACAACAGTCTCAGGTTCTCAGTCATTCAGATGCAGTTCAATGTTGATAGGTTAAAAATCAGACACTTTAAAAAGTTTATTCTTATATTTAATTATTAGTAAATGCTAAAAAAAAAAATCAGATTTATTATGCAGATTATTAAAGCTGTTAAGATTTCAAATCAGATGCCACTGCATTAATCCAAAGGAGATGGCAGGATGGTAAGAAAGAATCTTAGATCTAATTTTATGCTTGATTCTCAAAAGTCTGAGCTCATAAAGGAAGCAAAATTAGTAACACATTATTTAATTGGTTACAATCTGTGTTTGTATAAATTAATGAAGACCTATTTGCATTATTTCACTGTGAAAATAAGTAAACTCTCTTCTGCAGCAGGCTAGATTTTAATGATGTCAGCTGAAAGGAAGGCAGCATCACTTTAAATGATCAGCATGTGGGCTGAAAATTCAATGCATTACAGGCATTGCACAGTTCTATCAATTGATTCACTTATAGCATTGTCACTGATCACCTACAGCGAGGTGCATGTGGGGAAGGGAACATTAAAGAAGCAATGAATGACTGATAGCTATCGTTACTGTCCTTTGCTATAAACTATTGGTCACTCCTCTGCCTACACATCGAGGCTCTTCACAGTTCAAAGATGCACAAAAACCTGTTTCATACTAACTCTTGTATTCTGCCTTTGGGCTGATGGCCAGGCCTCATGTGTTTCGCTCTTGAAACCTGTATAACAAAATCTGTATGCAGTGTCTCTGTTCAAATCTGGATCAAAGAAGACACGACCAAAACGTTGACCCCGCTATCTCATGAAAACTAACCAGAAGAATTCAGTACTTTTTAGACAGTGCCACTAAAATATTTATTTCAATATCAGATCATCAGGCCAAGTGTAGTGCTCTCACACACAAACATACAAAGCACTGACTGAAACCAACTGGAGTCAAATACACCTCTTTGGGACAATCTTTGACCCTTGGAGAAGGCTGGCCATAGTGCAACTGTACCTACTTGCTCCAGTGAGGGTACTGAAATGCTTTAAATGCAAACCACACAAATGTGCTCCCTACTTGTTAAATGACTTTAGTTGTTTGGTACTACTCAAGCCAAGGAGAGAGAATAAGTTTAAAGGAATATTACTTTTAGGAACCAAACAAAAGCAAAGCTTGCCGCTTAATTCAATAATTTTTTTTTTTTTTTAAATAAGAACATTCACATAAGTGTTATTTGTAAGGGCTTTTTAATAATGAATACAATATGTGCTGAACAAAAAAACATTTTACATACGTAGATCAAAGTTATAAAAAGAAATTACATCCAAATTGATGCAGTTTGTTTTCATTGGCTTGTTTCTTTAGAGATTTTTTTCTAGAGTTTCTAAAGATACTATCTTTTTTTCTTTTCTTTATTTTCCCCATCCCAGTTTAATTCTTCAGTTAGACTCCATCAGGCAATTATACCAAAGGTCAGATACAGTATCCTTTGGAAACAGCCTACCTAGGCTGTGGTTAATTCAGACAGTGAGGCTCCTGGAAAATAACACAGGTATCTATCAATGCATTTTTCCTAATCGTAACTCAGTCCATTGCCTTCTTAAAATAGCCTGGATACTAACTTTCCTTGAACAGTATTTACCGTCATTGCAAATGATCAGAGTTAAAACCACTGGAACAAAAACGTAAAGGAAGTCTCGTTTAAGCTACAAAAAGGCCTGGTTTTGACAATAGCAGTATAACAACCACTGACACTAGAGAAGCCTCAGCCAACTTGCTCTAGGTGATTTTCACTATGATGCTGTTCTGCACCAGTAAGAGACAGATGCTCTCAAAAAATGCTGTATTTTGCCCAGATCTGAAAGTACAGATGGCAGATAAGAGGATTAACATAATTTCAAATAGTCTTTTCAAATAGAGGCTTGTTCTATATGTGGAAAACATTTTAAATTATTACTTAGATATATTGCTTGAGGCATGTGGTAAGATTATCCACTGCTCTTTGAGCTTTCTTCTGTACTTCAACAGGCTTTGCCAATAAATAAGAATGCAACTACTTTTTCAACACCTCTAGATTTAAAATGGCTAATGCTGTTAACAGTAGCATTTACAGAATGGATTATACATATTATTGCCTTTATAAGAGCATGAATAAGATATTAATGGTATCCCATTTGTACGATGTATTTCCATTCTTACTAGGCAAACATGATTTAACAATTTAAGCTGTGAATCAGTATGTACCACAGAAGTAAGTGAGCACTGGATAGCATATCCTCCCTGTAACACTGTACAGTGCCACTTTGGTATGACTCACTGATGACCCCACAGACAAAAAGTATTCTTAAACACAGTTCAAACACATTATAGATGTGCCATAGCTCTCTGAAAACACTTTGGGAGAAAGAATAACCTAAACTGGATCGGCAAGCTTAATCTGCCTACTTCCAAAATATGTATTTATGAGTCACCATGTTAGTATATAAAATACCAACAATTTGCTAGGTTCTTAATCAGTCTGCTTGATTGTACAAGGATTATTTCTTTTTTTCTGAAAATGAAAGTATTTTTCACCTAATTTGCAATAAACAAGTGATATGACACTGGGATCTGTGTTTCCTGTGATTAGCCTTTAATCTGATAGCCTAAAAAATATGACAGAATTTTGAAGCATTCCGCTGTAAAACTGAAAACTGATAAAATAACAGTAATTCTAATGGCAGCTTAAATGCTCAAGATTTTTTACTATGGGAATTGTTGCTGCCCATTATCTGGTTCCTTTAAAAGTAATCTCCTTAATGAGGAAAATGTCCGAAGAAAGCAGGTGAGGGAAAAAGGAAGGGTCCCGAGACAAGGAATGCTCTGTAGCATTTAAAGAAATACCACAGCTGACTAGCAATGAATTAGCTGAAGATGAAAGGATGGCGAGAAGACTGACCATTGCAAGCTTAAATCACTATGTGTTAGGAAAAAAGAAAAGAAAAAAGAAAAAAAGAAAAAAGAAACTTCATAACACATTCCACTGGTTTATACCTGATTTCCCAGGAAGAACTGATAAGAAATGAAAAATGGAAGAAAGACACGATTAGTTTACAGGAAATTCTCTATGTGACTCTAGAACACATGCAAACTAACACATTAGACATTCTAAATAAAGTATCTACTTCGGAGACGAGCAGGTAGCTAGCCATCCAGAGACTGAATATTGGAAAATGTTCAAGGCCTTTGTTTCCTTCCCATTGCTGCTCTGTGGTCTTAAAATCATCTACAAGTGTTTAACTCTTTAATTCTCTTAGACAAATATTGCATTATTTCATCTGAAATTGTTCTGGTTATTGAATCTAGGGGTAGCAGACCTTTCTCTACAATATGATATTTATTTTTCTGTCATCTAAGATTTTTCTGCAGTATCTAAAACATTTCTTGTACTTCTTCAGAAGGAACAGCATGCTCCAAAAAAAAATGACAAGGCAGGATAAAATTGACTGAACACACTTTGGTAAAAGATTTTTAAAGTACAACACAGTAGCACAGGAAAATATCACTGTTTTTATGAAACAAATAGAAAATCAGCTACACTTTAAACCAGGCAAAAAGATTGGCTTTTAAGGAGCTGTTGTATGTATGTATGCACGCATGCAGTTAGTTTTTAAAAATTCCCATACATTGGAAATAGTTTCAGTAGTTTAAGTGAAAATAAATAAAGCAGCAGCATTTTCCCATATTTTTAGCTGGTATGTTCTAACAGGAAAAAAACCATAAAATTTAGACAAGCTTAAAGTAAAATTCTTGTACATTAATATAGCCTAATTCCTTGCATAACCATGTCATACGAAGAATCTTTAAGCTGAAAGAACTAAGAAGGTCCTTTGAAGACTTACCCTGTACTTGTTATCCCCAATCTGTTCCACTTGAAACCGTTTTGCACATTTACATTTAGCTACCTGCCTTGTAACCTGCAAAAGACCACAACTGGATTACTTTACTAATATCATATTCCTAAATATTTGTGTAACTCGTAAACTTCAAATTATGTAGGAGTGAAAATAAAATTAATTATTAGAGAACATGACCCCAGTAGAATAGACTGCAACCTAAGAAAGCAGAGAATGTACCTCATCTTCAATTTTGTCAGCATCTGTGAGAGGCTTGTATGCATCCTTGTTTGGATGAAGAGCTGCTACAAATTCGTAATAGTCAATGTATCCATCACCATCTCTATCAAAAATGTCTGCAACAGCACTCATTTCAAGTCGGCTTGTTGGGAATTCTGTAAGACAAAGACAACAACAAAAGCTTTATCAAAAATAATAAAAGGTGTTTAGACACAAGGTGACAGGCAATGCTTATCAAAAAACCCAAGGACATTCAAAATGAGAATGAAGGAATCTTTCTGAAAAAACAATCTCGATCTCCGATGTTACCTAGATATTGGATTAAAATGAGTATCACAGCATGGCTTGAAGAGAGACACAGACGCAAGGGCACAGATTAAACTGTAAGATGTATGTGTGGGGTTGGTTTTTTTTTTTTTTAACATTTTGACCTTCAAAGTGCATAAAATACTACAGATTAACAAGATAAATTGTTAGTGAGGAAAGGTCAAGCAAGAATTTCACTGCTAATTAGATCTGAAATGCAAGGCCCTCCCACTGCAGAAACATGCATGGTGTTGCGTGAAATCCTTCTTTAGATCAAGTTCACAGCAGCAGAACAGTCAAAGAAAATTTCAAGATGGTGAGTGGGGATTAAATCATGAGTATTGAGCAGTTCTCACAAGTTGATACCAAGAGTTAAATGAGTAAGCTGTTTAACCTCTTGGTGGTATGAGAGTTTTTTCATCAACTTCTGACAATTCATGCAAAAGAGCAATGCACACATATAGTGACTATATTACTGCATTTCCTAAGGCACTGGAAAAATAAATATACTACAATATTCTCCTACTGAATAACTTTAACATGAGATGCTAAAAGCAGTCTCATTCTGAATCTTCACTGCTCAAAGCAAAAGTCTCTATGATCTGAAGATAAAGGATTATTTTAAGTAGTAGGACCTTATCTGTTATGAGTCAGTTGCTAAAGGGAAAAGGGATCACACACAGACAGACATGATGTGGAAGGCTTATGTTACCACCAACCGTGCATACCTAAGGAATACCAATCCATCAGGAAAGCTAGGAAAACTGCCTTCCTAGTCCAACTGCTTGACATTTTGATCCTCATTATACAGGTATATGAACATGGTCATGGCTCGTAGAAACAGTGGTTTCAGAAATTACATGGTTTCCTTCTAGAATTGAAACTATTCCATGCAAGTTCTTTAATGAAAATCATATGCTCATATGAACAGATTTTGAAACTTACCTATAGGTTTTATAAGGTACGTTTTACTATTCTTACTAATCAATGAAAAGTAATTGTTGAAGTGGTTAGTGTACTGTAGGAATGACAACTGGAATCCAGTAAACTATTAATTAGCCAATAATATAAAGGTGGCATTTGTAATCTGGTTCACAATGTGAAAGAACTAGAAAGAGTTTCTAGAATCTAGAAATATTTTCAAGTACAGTAATTATAGTTTAATTTAATCATAATTGATGACTTCAAAAGGGAAATCTATGACTTTCTAACACAATAAACCACATAAGGTACACTATACAGACAGTAAGACTTCATGAGATGTTTGTTCGAAGTTCAACATTAAGTTAATTTTAAAACTTACTTGAAGAAAGAATTCCATCAATAAATTCCTGCCTTGTTATTTTTCCATCCTGATCTTTATCAATCCTCCTAAAGAAGTCCATCACACGAGACTTCTTATGGTTCATCCATCGCATGTATTTTTTCCTCCAAATATCAAAATCAAAGTTGGCAAATTCTCTCAGCTTAATAAAAAAAAGAAAGAACTTTTTTCAGTTGAAATCAATCAATCTAAAAAAATCAATGAGAGAGATACCATCTGCATTCTTTTGAATAATTGGTTCTTTGAGGACATATATAAATATTTTAAACACCTTAACTCTCCTCACAGTTAAAATGAGAATGACAGCTTTTAAAGCATGTTAAAGTACGTATATCACAGTGTCTTCAGTTAGCTGTATCATACAATATAATACAAACACATATGGAAGTTGTTTACAGTATTTACAGTATTGACAATTTAATCCAGGATAAACAAAATTATGCAAAAAGTATGCATATTCTGTACAGTCCTTTTCTGACCTCTTCAAGTCTGTCCAAAGCATCATTAAGTTTTCTTCTTCTTTCCAAGGCAAGAAGCCAGACTTGCTGCCATTTGCTGACTAAGAGGTTTACCCGTGGATTCTTGGTTTCGATTTGCGTCTGGGCTGCTGACGGATATATGCCTGGTGTTGGGGAACGCTTTCCTGTTAAAACATGGTAAAATATGTAAGTCTCACCCAGTTCAAACAAAACAAACATTCACACGAAGGGTACTTGACCTTCTTAAACTACCCCTTCCTGTCCCAAATAATGAGCCCATACCCTGATATGATTCCATCTAATGGGATTATTTTTTTTACCATTGCTGGGGAAGGACAACATGGTGGTTAAAGTATATGCATTAGTGAAGCTGCACAGGTTAAATAAAATCTTTGCAAATCTCTCAGAGTTGCAAAGTAAACAACCTGATTTTAGAAGCAGGTTTCATGTACGGGTAAGTATAAAATACAATGGGTAAGTATATCCAAAAATAGAAAAAATGATTTCCTCACTTGATGATTCACTTTCCATTCAACTTCACTGAACACATTTTCTGATTGGAGCCATATAATTTCATAGACAGTAAGAGCAATATTTTGTCTCTACGTCTTTATGTAAAAGTGTTTTGCACTTTCAGATAATGGTAGATTTGCAAAGACTCAGCATGTGCACACTCTTAGAAGTTTAATAGCACATGAAAGCCTGTACACTTTAGAAACAGGTATTCAAAGAAGTATAGAACAAATTTAAAAATACAAGTCTGCTATGAGAAATTTCCTCACAATGAAAAATAAGAGATAATTGGAAAAAATCAGCCAAGATAATTTCACCCTGTTTCACTAGAAGCTAGTCAAACCTACTGGATTATTAGTAATCTGGAATCTTTATAGATAGAGCAATGGTGTGTGTGACCTGTCCCAAAATACTTCATTACTTACTTCCTGCTCTCCCCTTATCAAGCACAGGAATATGAGATTGTACTGGAGTGGGTTCAAGTGCCTTTCTTTTATAGGTCTTTGTAACTTTATCCACATCAGGTTGTTTTCTGGTCATTTCCTCCATGAACGTCTGCAATCAGATAGAGGTGGTTTTAATTAACAATACACAAAAGTGACCACAGAAATGAAAAACACGTACAACAGCAAAACACCAAAGTTACAAGAATAGCACATAAACACTCTTATAATGCCAGCCTCACAAAAAAGACAGAGATAAAGGTTTTATAAGTAAGAAAAATCAGCAGTATAAGCTTTTAAGACCATTATGGCCTAGGTGTTAAAGGCAGGCTAAATCTAAAAAATCAGTCTGTCAAACTCCTTTATTAACTATGAATGGTGAAGTGCTGTACAACACAATTTTGACTCTGAGTACTCAGGTGTTCCTTGCTGTCCAGACTGCAGTTCATAGAAGTGAGAGTGCTCTGGTGAATAAGCTGGGATAAACCTATGAGCATTCACTGCACCAGCAGCTCCCTCTGGCACTTCATAAACTTATTTTTGAAATCCAATCAGTAAAACCACAGTGCAACCCTAGTTCTGAGGCAGCAGCACTATCATATATTTCATGTGGGTTTTTTTTTTTTAATTATTACAATTATCCTTTTTCCTATGGGGAGTTGTAGGCTTGCTTTTAGAACAAGGTAGCACTCAGTTTTTGTTTGGTTGGGTTTTTTACCTCTGTCTTGAATAAACTACAAGCACAGCATACACATACAAAACACACACAACTGAGTATCTGGAAAGGGATTCAATTATTAGGAGAAAAATAGCTAAGGAGATTCACACTTGATTATGAAGCCTAGCTGAGATGTGAGCACCATTTGTGGAATGTGTAGGAAATGAGTCATTTAACATGCCTTACCTGGTGTTCAGCTATAAGTGCTTTAACTTCCTCAATCTCCTGGGGGATAACCTCTTTATCTTTTTCAGTAAGTGTAGTCTCTGCCCACTGCAACCAGGCCAGCAAGGCTTCCAGCAATTCCTGGTTAGCAATAAGTCCAGCCAGAGCTCCTGCCAGTCTCTGCTGATGCTGTTTAGCCCATGCTAAGACCTTGATAAAAGAACCAAGGCATGAGTATGTGCACATATGAAATTCTTTAAAATGTATTTAAAATTGCCCTGCTAACTATAAACCCAGAGTTTCCTCCCAGGCCTATTGATGTTCGATTATCAAAGGTGCTAGATGTAGTGGCTGATAACTAAAGGTGCTAGGTAATCAGAATTCTCAGTTAAAAAAAAACACATTTTTTCCACCGATATTCAGGATTAGGTGCTGTTAAATGCAGTAAATAGTACATTCTGGCAACATATTAACAACTTTATCAAACAATATGTACAAGTTAGTGAATCACACAGGATTTGGTATCCTTCTTCCTCTTGGGCACTCCTGAAGCCATACTCTGCAAAGACTGGCATTTTGTTTTTCTTGAAACTTAATATACACAGAAAATACCACCTTAGAAGCTGACAGTATGGTACACCCTGAGACCTATTTGTAGCCACTTAAATAATTTGAAAATCTTCTAGATCAAGAATATGTTGGACTCAAATCCTCCCTAATGCAATCAGAAAGTGCTTCAAGTTTGCCCTGTATTTTCTTTCCTTTGTAACTTTTAAGTTTCTCCTTAGAAACTATTGGCTTTCTTCACATGGGAAGTGTCAGACAGTATTTCCTTTAATACATACAAAGAAGCTTGACCAACTGCTTTAGTTCTTAAATCTCTACGTTTTAAAACAACACCTAGGGAAGCATGGTATTCACATCCATCACTGTCAGTATTTTAAATGTTTAGTTCTCAACAGCTGGATCATTTCCTCCCAGTGTAACTATCATGTTAGTTGTCAGCTAGGTTCCAACCAAAGATGGACTGTTGCAATGAAGATGGCTTGACATATACTGACCTCTTCAAACCTGGCTCTGATGATTGTTATCCAGTGCTTAATGGTGGTGATGGAGTCTGGGTGGCAGATAGCTAGGATAGCTTCTCCCATACCTGTTGCTTTATTCAGTTCTGCCTTTTTCTCTTCCAGTTTCTTCATAAATTCCTAAATCAGAGGTAACAATCCAATTAGACGTTGACAAAATTTGCAAGAGAAACCTGAGTGTATAACCTGGAAGGTCACAAGCCTCTCAACCGCTCAAACAGATTCAACTTGCAAGAGGCAAGTTTTATTTCTCCGAGAAAAGTTTAAAATGTTTAAAAAGCCTATTCCACATAAAGTACTAAATAAAGCTCTAAAATTTTTTACCCCAGCTTGCCATTCCTGAAAAGCCCATCACACTGTAAATACTTGAAAGACACATGTTCTTATTAAAAAAAGAATGAAAATTACAGCATTTTAGAAGTGCTGTAGATCAACTACATGATGGTTAGAATCATTGTTGGCAACATATTAGGTAACTTTTTTTGTCAGTTTTTCTGTCAGTTACAGTAATTCTTCATAATAAACTATCAAGCTCCTAAGAGAGGCTGGAAATGTCCAGCTATAATTACATGCTCAGACAAGATGACAGAGGACTTCAGGAGTTACTAAACTAACACAAATGTGAAAAATCAGCAGCTGAGGGGGAGAGAGACAGCAAGAACAGGGACAGAGACTACTAATTAACCAGCTGTTTTCAGAGGAGCTGCCATGTGGGAAAAATCTTGTAAAAGCAAAAGGATGTTTACAGTTTCAGACATCCAAGCTCACAGCCACTGATGCTCCTAGTGAGTCCAGCACAGGAAAGGGTGGCAAAGACCAGAACTAGGGTTGGAACAGAGAACACAACAAAACTAAAGGACTCTTCCCATCCCTTCTACAGTTTGCATTACTGTTTTTATTTATTTTATTATTGTTACTACAATGGTTTTACTATTCTGCCTATTTTGTTATGTCTAAATGTTGTGTAAGTCTGTGTGTCTTTGTAAGCACCCTTAACTGGAACTGCTGACATCTCTCAGTGCCTAGTGGAATTGTTATATTTTATTGTCTTTAATTGGGCTACAAAATGGAACCATGTCTCTGAAGTTTAACTCTTTCTCTCCGCATCCAAGAAGGGCTATTTTGGATTCCAGAAATTAAACACCAGCCAGGTCAGACCTTAGAAAATTCGAAATCACCTAAATGTTGTAAAAAGATTCTACAACAACTCATAATGACATTATCCCGTGCCTTTGCAAATTAAATGTGAAGCTACTGTGAAATAAAAGTGTAAAAAAAAAAAAAAAATCTTCTATCTTGTTTGAAAAGCCTGGAATAGGTAGGCTGTATATTTAAAGAGATTCACTACTAACTAATTTTGATATAAGCTTAAACTAATATCAGAGTTTAAGACCCAGTCATAGTAGCAGTCCATCTCTCATAAAAATCACAGAACCACAGAATCATTAAGG